TAATTATAACTTCATTTATCATACACATTAAGAATATATAATAAATCAATACTACCAAAGCCAAATTAGAATTTAACAAGTAGTTTTGGTTTTCAGTTGTGATGTGATTTCTTTACATTTATTAAAGTTATGTGCTCCGTGTGTTCCATAATACTTGTACAGTTTTACTAGATGGTATACCATGTTGATTGGGTATAATATAAAGCTAATTCTTCCATGGTAGCACAAAATTTGCGAAGTGAAACAAATGACATTTGTACATAGGGAAAAGGTGCAAATAGGTCCATGTACTAACCAAAAAAGGTCAAATAAGCCCTTATTTAGGAGGCTCTGTCCGGTCATCGCCATTTGGGGTGGTTTCCAGTGGAATTTTTTGATGAATTTTTTTGAGAATCTTATTTATCAAGTGTAGTTTACTCATACCAAATTTCAGCTAACAATTCAATCGGGAAGACATTCAAATGAATTCTTGAAAATAACTGCGCAGTTAGAATCACAATTATCTTCAAGAAATCATTTGAATGCCTTCCCTATTGAAGTTTTAGCTGAAATTTGGTATGAGTAAACTAGACTTGATGAATAAGATTCTCAAAACATTTCATCAAAAAATTCCACCGGAAACCACCCCAAATGACGACGGCCGGACAGGGCCTCCTAAATAAGGGCTTATTTGACATTTTTTGGTTAGTACATAGGCCTATTTGCACATTTTCCCTTGTACATAAGAAAAACATGACTCCGATATAAAAACATGTACAAATGACATTTACAAAAAGAAAATTCCAATGTTTTTATAAGTAATATTCAGAAAAATAGATAATAAACTAAAATTTTATGAAGTGGAACAAAAACTAAATTTGACAAAAATGTGTACATGAAATTAGAAATTAAAAGCGATTAATTGACTCAAGAATGGTAAACTTAGACAAGTAATGTGAAATTGAGACAGTATACATTCACTATAATGTCTCAATTTTTATTAATAATAATGTCTCAATTTTCATTAATAATAATGTCTCGGATCACAAAAACTGTTAAAATGGTCAACATCATTCATGTCTTTTTATTGATTTTGATATGAACGATGAAATTTTTGTGATGACGCTGGCTGATTATGATTGCATTTTCTACCAACAAAAACTATCATTGATACTTGGTAGTACACAAACGGTCACAAATCACAATACATGTTTTTTTAATTATATGTGCCCTCACACATATGCATACATAATACATAATATTAATCGATGGTTAAAATTAACAGGTACGGTAAATATGTAAGAAAGTTGGATCAATTACTTCATTTTTTCGATAAAAAATAAAGTTGACCTGACAGAAATCCCTTCCAGCGGAATACTTCTCTCTATGTATAATACTACGTATTAGTGTTCTAATAAAATACTCAATTTGATTAGGTCTTTATATAAATAATTTTTCGGTCTAAAAGTTATTGATAAAAACATGAATAGAGGAAAGCGGTATATATACTATGAATTTGACCCGACTTGCTTTTATAAAATTAATTATATTGTAAACACTTTTTTAGTGAAAGAGAAATAAACCTATGCAGTTCCTTTTTAACATGAATTTTGTTTTGATATGAAGAAAAATCAAGTAGGATCTGTTTTAAAGAGAAAAAATATGATACAAACAATTTTTTATTATGAAACATGAAATTTCTATTCAAACAAAAAAACAAATTGCTCTCTGTCATCCCACCGTAGAAAATGAAATTTCTATATAATAGCTGAAAATGTGAACCATTCCACTGCTATCGCCATTTGCCAGCCACCCACACGTGTAAGTGAAAATCTTGTGATAATTATTTTTAAAGAAATTGGTGAGAGTGATACTGAAAGAGTCGTTACACAATAAGGGTGTTTTTACTTGAACCGTTTTCAATCCTAGATTAGACTAGAAAAGAATAAGCCAGATTTAAACAAACTAACCAGACTTAAACCATTACGGAGTATAAAATATACCAAGATCAGAATTATCGGGCATTCAAATTAGAAAATTTCAATCCAATTTAAAACATTCTAAACACAGAAGTTGTTCCAAATAGTAATAAAACATAACCAAAGCGCACAAAAAAAATTGATTTTTTCTTAAAATATACTATCATAATTAATTTGATTATATGAAAACATAAAACTTTCCCAATTAGGAGTGAATGCGTCCAAGTTTAGGAAGAATACAATGATTTCTTATTTGAACACTTTGTCTATATTGTACTCCTTACGAAATTTTCTCAAGTTTTTACACTTAGTTATTCATTATTTTGTCCCTTTGCGACTTTCAAGTATCTATATCTATATATTATACATTTAAGAGTCATATTGGTGGAAGCTTTTGTCACATGTCATTCATTTAAGCATTTGCCACATGTCACTCTTACAGCACTCATTTACTCTCATGTTCCATCAATTTTAATTCTACTCCACATAATTAAATGGTATAATATCAATTATTGACTTATTGTATATTATTAATTGGTAGTAAAAAAATTATCATGTAAATATAAATTGTTTCTATAAATATTCAAGAAATCACAAACAGTCAACCGTCTTTAATCCACGTTATTTTAGGCTCCATGTAATCTATATCTATATATTATACATTTAAGAGTCATATTGGTGGAAGCTTTTGCCACGTGTCATTCATTTAAGCATTTGTCACATATCACTCTTACAACACGCATTCACTCTCATGCTCCATCAATTTTAATTCTACTCCACATAATTAAATGGTATAATATATATCAATTATTGACTTATTGTATATTATTAATTGGTAGTAAAAAAATAATCATGCAAATATAAATTGTTTCTATAAATATTCAAAAAATCACAAACATTTCAACCGTCTTTAATCCATGTTATTTTAGGCTCCATGTAATCTATATATTATACATTAAAGAATCATATTGGTGGAAGCTATTGTCACATGTCATCTATTTAAGCATTTGTCACATGTCACTCTTACAACACTCATTCACTCTCATGCTCCATCAATTTTAATTCTACCCCGCATAATTAAGTGGTATAATATCAATTATTGACTTATTGTATATTATTAATTGGTAGTAAAAAAATTATCATGTAAATATAAATTGTTTCTATAAATATTCAAGAAATCACAAACATTCAACCGTTTTTAATCCATGTTATTTTAGGCTCCATTTAATCTATATATTGTACATTAAAGAGTCATATTGGTGGAAACTTTTGTCACATGTCATTCATTTAAGCATTTGCCCCGCATGTCACTCTTACAACACTCATTCACTCTCATGCTGCATCAATTTTATTTGTACCCCACATAATTAAATGGTATAATATCAATTATTGACTTATTGTATATTATTAATTGGTAGTAAAAAAAATTATCATGTAAATATAAATTGTTTCTATAAATATTCAAGAGATCACAAACATTCAACCGTCTTTAATCCATGTTATTTTAGGCTCCATGTAATTGGTAACAGAATAAAGTAACATAAAAAATAATTAATATAAACTAATATTTGTACTATAACTCTTAACATGTACAAATAGATTAGTTTCTATATTTTAAAAATTACAGTCATTTCTATCTCGATTACCATCTACTCCATATAGTCTTTACAATCATGTCCATTTTTACCATCATAATACACCGTATTTACAACTCTAATCTCATTATAGTACAGAAAAATTGAAAATAAAAATCTGAAATATTGTTAGTCCATTCACAATAATCCAAATTATTGATGGGTTTATTTCAAAAAATATTATCCCTCCATATTTTAAAGTTTGCTACACTTTTCTTTTTGGGATGTATTTTAAAGTTTGCAACACTTTTACTTTTTGGTAAATTTTCCTTAAAAAATACTCAATCACCCTTTCATTTTCTACTTTTAAATTTTAATCTTCTACTCCGTATTTCATATTTTCACACCTTCTCTCCTATTTTTTGTACACTATTCATTACCCCTTCTACTTTTCTTTTAAAATAATGTGCCAAAGCTAATGTATAAATCTCTAAAATATGGAAGGAGTACTAAAAGTATACTTATTTAGACAAATATGACTAATAGTTACTACAATATAGTGTCATGGTCACTTATGTTTAAAAATTGAACATAAGTGACCATGATCCAAATTATTGATGGGATTTTTCAAATGTATTACCCCCCGTCCCATTGGACTTTACCAACTTTCCCATTATGGTTATTCCCAAAAATCTTTACCACTTTCTTATTAAAGTAACTAAGTTGTGGTTATGCACATTTTCTCTCTACTCTGCACAAATCTCAACCACATAGTTTTTACTTTTCTTATTTCTCACCTACTTTGCACTTGGCAAAGTCCACATGGACGGAGGGAATACTAAAATAAAACTTATTTACACAAATATGACTAAGAGTTTTTACAATATAGTGTCATTTAATTATTTCAGTATTGATTATTTGTATACAATCTCAAGTATATGACTTGTCCACCAGTAATGGTCCATGACCGGGTATAACCTGCTATGCAAGTCACTTTTAAATAGAAGTTTTATGCATTCTATAAATAATCCGAATTATAGTCGTTATTCTTTTAATAATCTCAGTTAATCATCAAATCATTTATTTTATTTTACAAAACGTAGAAAAGTTTATAAAATTTTCAAAATTAGGATTTTATGATATGTAACCATAACTAGATCTAAAAACGTACGCATTTTAAAAAAATATTACGTTTTATTGAAATTATTACTAAGTTAAATTATATAATTAACCATTGTGTCTTGAAGAATTCCGCAATGTAGTTGGTCAGTGAATAAGTTTTTAATCAATAAACGAGCGAATAAACTAAATTTGAATAAGCTTTTTGAACGTACAATTTTATTAGCCAAAAGTTATTTTCTCACATTTATTTTTATATACGGTACTATATACCGTGCATCGCACGGGTCAGATACCAGTATGCTACAAATTGAAGGTTTCATGGTCGTAGACTGGGGCGATGATAAAATATTACCACGTACTACGTAACTAATACAGTAATATGGACTACGAAATACATGGAGCTAGTCTATTCTATACCATTATATCATAAACATAAAACGAAGAGAATCATTATGATCATCATCAAATGCCTTCTTCAAGAATTCACAGAATAGTCTAATGACTATCAATCAAACGTCATTTTTCGTACCACAGGATAATCAAGACCACCACAAATGTAGTTATTGTGATGATCATCATCGAAGCCGCCACAGGCAATTGGTTTCATCATCATTGAAATATTTGTAGAGATGAGGCCGAAAGAATTCCACAATTTTAGAAGTTCAACATCCGGTTAAGATTGAGACAGCCATTGTGTAGACTATCAGCAGCAACACTCATTCAGTGGGTGAAATTTCATAAGTTGAGGCTGTTGAGCTTATACAACACAGTGCATACAGTACTTCCACAATGCTATACAGTTCTTTCTGAAACTAACCCTTTTGCTTGTGTTTTGCTATTTGACTTGACTTTTCTAATGTTATACTATCGTATACATGGTAAAATATGATTAGGTTTTGCAGCCACACTTTATAGCTGAATTCCAATTTGACCCTTTCGTCCCATCATTTAACATCTGAGAGTTGAATAAATTTTTCATCAGATTATAGTATATTCTAATAGAGTAATAGATGGGCTGAAAAGCAATCTATTCATACACACTCCATGCGTGTGTATAATAGTGATATTGGTAGATCTTAATGCACAGTTTTCTTAAAAAAATCATGTAAACTTTGACACCACGACGAAAAATGGTCTAATTTCACATCCATCATAAATATAATGTAGTTGTGCATTGAAGTGAATTTCATGTGGCTAGGGAATCACTAACCTCATACTGACATGCCAAATGGAATTCACTTTACCCAGTCTTTTCTGTAGCAGCGGGAATCCAGCTGCACATCCGAAGTACAAATGGAATCTGCACACTTTGACGTACACTCACACGCGCACACATATAAACAAGGACACTTATAGTTGGGACACTATTTTATACTACTCTTAGTAGGTAGCCCATCTCACTATTAAATACTCCCTCCGTCCCTGATAACTTTGACAACTTTCCTTTTTTTTGGTTATCCCAAAAACTTTGACACTTTCCCTTTTAATCAATCAATTTGTAGCTGCTGTTATTTCTCTCTTCTGCACAAATCTCTACCACACAATTTTTACTTTATTATTCTACGTGTCAATCAAACTTGTCAATCCTTTTAGGGACGGAGGGAGTAAATAAGTCCTCTCTTGTGTGAGTTCTAGATGGATTAACTACTGAGAACAGTACCGAATGGTAGTCCAGATACCATTTCCAATACTGTTCCCGTCCTGTAGCATTCATTGACAGCGGAATAAGTAACCTTTGACTTACTTATGTGGCTGTACCCGACGTCTCTAACCCTATTCATTTCAGAAAATTCAATAACAAACGGCAAATATTTTGAACAAAATTCAGCCATAACAAATGGTATAATTACCATTTTTTATGGCTCTAGACACTTTCAAATGGTATTAATTTTCATGGCTCTAGACACTTCTCTAACCTTTGACTTACTTATGTAGATTCAGCCATTTCATCCAAATATCTCTTACCAAACGGGGCTTAAGTCAGTATCCACATGATTAATCCTTCATGGCTCTAGACACTTTCTTTGTATCTCCTGGGAATAGACAATGAGTGCCAGCAAAAAAGCAAAGGCAAGACCAGTAGCCCCACTAAAGGGTTGAAAAGAGTAAGCCCCAGTAAACCATGGTGGGAACTTGGATTCAGAAACCAGAAAGCCTCCCATCTTCAAGAAATTATTACAAGCCAATATTCCTGTGCGTACCCCTATGGTAAGAGAGAGGCTTCCTTGATTTCTTTTCCGAAGCCCAGAAAGGGCTAGTGATAACATCCATAGGCCAGGCACTGCCCATGCTGACCTAAAAATATCATTCAAAGACAGGTTAAGGTTATGATCTACTTGAACATATTGTATATGATATGTTTGGATCCATGAAAAATACCTATGAAATGAAAAAAATGAGGATTTTTTTCCTGTGTTTATTTTTACTTCAAAGTATGCAAAGATAAATGAAATATGATTAATGTTTTCAAAACGTTGTTTCATATTCAGATTTCAGAGCCCTATATAAAAAAACAAAGTGAGTTTGAACAAAATACAAATATCAAAAACAAATTTAATGAGTTTATGAACAAATATTTATTTTAGCCCACATTTTCTTTTCTTCCAAATTTCTACATTTTCTTCCCTATTTTCTTTCCCTAGCATTTTCTAAGTTCCAAACGGACCCCAAGTGTCCTTGGTGAAGGGAATATTTTTAATGAAATATGACTAATGTTGCCCTAAATAGAAGTAAAAATGTTCGTAAATTCCAAAATAGGACCATCATGTTTTTTCCCCCTAAATATGAGTAATTACTTTCATGTTTTGACATTATGAGATTTTAAACATGGAAGTATTTATAGTCAATAAAAACATGACAGTCCTATTTTGGAATTCCAAAACGTTTTAGTCTTATTTCAGGAGATTTCCTTCTTTAAAATGATTATCCATGTTTAGATTTCTAAGTCTATATAATTAGAAGCAGATAAACAAAATGAGTTAGAAGTTAGAACATATGCCGAGAAGAATTTTTTTAAATTTGAACCAATGTTTAATTCCCCCTACATCTTCTTTCCTTCTAAATTTCTCATGTACTTTGGTTAACAATTTCCATTTCACACTATAATGTGGTTCTACTCTGTGAACATCACATATTCGAAATATCATTTTTGAATTTTGAGTGTGTAAAAAATAATCATCTATGGGTTTCTTGAATAATTAATTTCGCGCAAGTACTGTATCAAAACAACTCCATGAAAACCAGGAGTTCAGATTAATACATTCTTAAATAGAACGAAAATTAATATTCCGAAACTTTATTACATATGATATAACAGTTTTTGGATCGTTGTCACGTGTATGTTTAAGTTTAACTGATCACAGTGAAGGGTGAATTATCAAATACATGTGGCGACAATCTAATAATTGGATATATTTATTTAGCCTCAATTCCTAAATATAGCATTTGTTAGACACCCATACGAAATTGTGTTTACAACAATCATGTTTTCTTTGAAGCAGGTTTTCATCTTGAAGCTAAATCAACACTTTAAAGGCAAAATCTGCAAATGTAACAAAAAGGATAGGGTTTGGACAGTGAACTTGAAATATACCTCTGGAATACAGAAAATGCAAGTCCTGAAATGATTATTCCTCGACTGTATCCGAGTTCAGAAGCAATTTCATCAGACAACCATGATCTGAAAAGTAATTCCTCAACAATTGCAACCCCTGTTGCAGTTGTTACTCCTTGAAAAGCTAGTATAGCCATCTGACTGAACACTTTCAGCGATGATAGAGCAGCGGAAGATGATGAGGAAAGAGTGATTGGCATTTGGAAATGGACACAGCCAAGAAGGGAGTTTACTGAATAAATTAGTATCACAAGAATAATTCCGCCAACTAAGCCCTTTAGAAAATTTTGAACCTGAAAAGCAAGATTTACATCTGATGAGGCAAGTCCTCTAATCGCAATAAAAGAATCATGTTTGAACAATGCACAACTTTGTAATTCTGGTAAAGTACAGCAGTCTAATCATAAATATAATTTTTTTTGTTGGTTTAAATAAAGTTATCATTGTTTAACAAATTACATGGAAATAGCTTCATTTCATCAAACTGGATTCTTTTTTGGGGAGAAAACAAAAGGATTTCATTTTTTTGACCGAGCGAGTATTGCAAAACAGTGTTCAATAGACAAGCACAAGTGTGGGAAGAAACATGGCTATAATGTTTGGCATCATAACATTATATTTGGATTGAAATATTTCGATGTAAGGGCCTCTTTCCATGCTCCATACAAATGATATGAAGATAGGTTTCCAACCACCCATACCCAGGAATACAGTTTTATTGTTTAGTTTGGAAGATTTTCATGTTCTTAGAACTTCTCTTGTCAGCTTTAGGTTCCTGGAGAAAGATGGATGCCAATAGTAGTCGATGTCTTCAGAACCAACTAAAAGATTGAATCCGTAAGAATGTTCCAAATTGAGTGCTTCCTCTGCAAACCAATTTACAGGAAACAAAGTTTGCAATACCTTCAGCAGTGAAGTCAGATCCAGCCCATATAGTTCAAGTGGATTTTGGTACCCGCGGACTCTTTTCCCCCACAAAGTAACTAGTAGGACAATGGAGATATAGAGTCCAAAAATGCATATCAGTTCTGCAGTTTTGGATGGATTTTGGGTAGTCCAGCTATGAACAAGTGTTGGTAGCAAAGGTACGACAACAGGTGACCATAAAACAAGCACCATACAGATAAATGCAAGAATCCTGAAGCAAGGTCAAAGAAAGAGCTTTCAGTGAATTGGAAGATTTAGGGATTTTAGGGCAGGTGTGTTGTGGAGATCTTTTACTAACCTCCGTTCCTTACTCAAGTTTATGTCTTCCTGTTCTGTCCATCCCTAAATAAAGTCACATTTCCCTAAATAGTAAAAGTACAAGTCTTGCCTTACTTCACTACCCTCAAATGAGGGTCCCTCATTTGATATCCCACATTCCCACTGTCTTACCTAACAAAATTAGTTGCTCCTAAGTCCTAACCACATAGCACAAGGGCATTCTTCGATGTCAAAGGAAAACAATTTGATTTATTAAAAGTTTCACATTCCAAGAGCTTGAGGTGGACACGTATTTTGGTTAGAAATATATGTTTCTCTTTAGATAGGTTATCAACTGGTATGAGACCTAAACTCATCATTTAAGTTAGTATTTTACCTCTGGAAAAAAGGACGTTCAGCAACGCGCAGAAATGAAATAAGCTTGTCAGTAAGACTCATAGCACCACGTAATCCACCCCAAAGTAATGCAAATTTTCCAATAAACCTCAAAACACCACCCTTCTGTCCTAACTCTGCCAGCATTGCCACCAGCCTGTAAATCAATGAAATATTAATAAGCTGGTCTTTCAGAACAATCATTAATATCAAAGCAAATAAAAAACTGTTTGAGAATGCATAACCTTTCTTGATCCACTTCACCATCCTTTGTAGGTACCACCGGACTAGCAATAGACATTGCTTTCTCAGCAAGACTTGTGACTACGTTGTCCTGGGGTTTATCCACATCCTCAAGTGTACGAGTATTTTTGTTTACATCTTTTCCACTGTGATTGGAAGAAATTTCAGTCTCTTCATCCTTCAAGCACATATATACTAGATATTTAGCATCTTTTACAGAGAAAGGGACAGTAAATACATACTAAGAAAATAACCAGAGCAAGAATCTTTGACTGCCTAATTAACTAAGCACAAGCTGTTACTTATCCTCTGTCAACAGTATGCATTTATGCTGTTATATATCTGTTACAGCAAATACATACTAGTAAAATAGTCAGACCAAGATACCTTTACAATTTTGTTACCTATATAATAACTAAAACCTGATACTTATCGGTCATCATGTCCATCACCATTATGAATTTAAGGTGTCAATTGGAAAAATTAAAGAGAACACTTAAACCATCCCTCACACTAAAATCCTTCCCTGTTTCAGGGAAATTTTATGGAATCCTATATGAGTCCACTATGGAGTCATATAGCACATGTGGCATCATCACAACCATTCATTTATGAAATAGGGTCCTCCACTATAAAAATGAATGGTTGATATGAGGCCATATGAGCTATATGACTCCATAGTGGATAATATAGGGCTCTATAAAAAAATTGCCCTGTTTCAGGAATTTAAACATCAAGGCTTTGATCAGGTTATCTTGATAGCTATTTTATTCAGTATGTACAACATCAGTAACTCAAAGTGTGTTCCTAATTGGCTCTACAGATCAAATGTTGTTGATAATATGCTTTGCAAAAGTAGTCTGAAAAGGTCACAAGTATGCACCAACTGATGCAGATACTCTGAAGCAGGTGGCAATCCCACATTTATCAATAACAATGTTACTTCGACCAATTTAAAGTAATATGAAAGAGATAGGTGACCTAAGTTAAATTTTACCTGATGATGGGTGAGCAGTGCAGATGCTCCTAAAGCTGCAGTAACAGCTCCAACCATAATAGATTTGCTTGAATCCCCTGAATCTTCTCTACTTGCAATTCTGGGCTTGGTGACCTTGGTCATGTTTTCAGAATCAACTCTTCTACCAATCATGAGACCAGGACTCTCCAACTCATATTTCTGATTAGTATTCAAATTAGGAGCAATATCAGATCCCTTTTCATCTTTTGGGTTTTTATTTGTTTGATCAATGATCATGTCATTGCCTTTGCCATTATTCTGAACTGTAGAGGATTTTCTTAGTGCAGCCAGGCTTGAGCCAACAATAACCCCAATAGGCAATACTCTTTGCAAATAGCTGGTATTCTGAACAGCAGAGGATATGACCTCTACTACATGCTCTGCATGAAGGGTACCAACTTTCTCTGAATCACAGTCCTTGAGTTTTGCATTTGATGCAAGTGTGCCATCCAATCCTATTCCTTGAGAAACAACATTTGCTATGTGTTCCAGATCTCTAGAAAGTTCAGTTTCCATTTTCTCCATGTCAGCAGAACTTAGCCTTCGGCCTACTTCAACTTTTAAAGTGTCCATAATAATATTTCGGATACTGTCAGAAGGCTTTTCTAATTTTTCATCACCAACTTTAATATATCCATTAGATTTTTCAATTGTTTCATGCCACTTCTCAGAATCTAAAACTGCATAAGATGGTTCAGTGTTTATATCCTTTGATCTTGGTCGTAAATAGCAACCTTCATGAGATGCAACATTATTGTCAGAATTAGCATCATTTTCTGACTTAGATATTGCTTCTTTTTCTTTGTAAACAGAGCTTCCTAGACAACCTTTTATAGTATAAAATGGAACATTTTGAGAAACAGTATTTAAGTACTTAGCTGAATCCTCTACAGACAGTTTTGCATTGAAAACCTCTTGCCTCTTTCCCTCATTTTTTTCTGCAGAGTGCTTCATTTCTGATACACTTTCACCAAGAATCATATGCTTCTCTTTCATTTTCTTTTTAGAGTGTGATTGGTTATTTGAAGGAATAGCATCAGAAGGTGGTGTGCCAGCATACTTATTTTTCCCCTCAATGTCGTCCAAATCATTATTGTCTCTATTACCCGTTTTATCGTCAGCATTTTTCCCATCCTCTAGGCGGGTAATCATATCCTCCAGTACATGAAACACACTATTAACTGCCACCTGAGTCGAGTCATCTATTCCTGTCAAGGCATCTAATGCTTGAGAAGCACTAAAGACTGGTGAATTGGGTAAACTTTGGTTTGAATGTGTTTGCGTCCCCTTTTCTTCTCTCTTCATGTTATCCCCGTCCATTTTTTCCATCACTTGGGTCTCAGAGGGAGTAGCAGGAGATATTTCTTTTTCCACTATCTTTGGCTTAGTACTGTTCTGATAACTAGAAGATTCACCAACATTTTCTTCCTTTGTTTGACTAGAACTCTCTCCATTAAAGTCCATCTCAATTTTTGCACCATCTTGCATTTTGTATTTCTCTGAGTCCATATTTTCCTTCGCAGACTCCCTTTCAGGCACACTTGAACTCTTCGTTTTTTCTCCTGTTTTTAATTCATTTTCCCTGTTACTAAAATCCAAACCAGTTTTATCAGTAATATTAGCATCCTCATCTTTATGTAGTATATCACTCATGTCCTTCGTTTCCATATCAGAACAGTTAATTGATTGAGACTGACAGGTATTGTCCGATCCTTGCCAATCTTCTGAAGTCCGCCATTCTGTTTCATGTTTCCCAGAGTGATTGTCTGCACTATATGCATGCTTGTTTGAGCCATTAGGCAAATCTCCCGCCTTCACCTCATCCGAAGAATAAGACGATTCATTTTCTGCTTCAAGACTTGAATCTCCTTTAACGTTTTCCTGGATAGTTGAATTTGACCTGGAGGTTACATAAGGAATGGGTTTGAGAGCCAGGAGACGATCCAATTTCAAGTCAGAGCCTTGATTATTAACAAAATCAGAAACCGTGTTTGTAAGTTTTCCACGAACATCTTCAGGTACAGCACCTTGCAGAGCATTCATCAATGTTTCCCCTTGATCAACAGCAGTCAGAACCTGGATGAAAATGACTATTCATTACTCACTAGGTTCATAAAGTTACAGAGTGAGTAAAGTTGAAGAAACTTTCAGCAAATAATTAAGACAAGCTTCTTCTTCGCACTGGCTTGCCTTAAACTTTCTGGCTGGATCCCAGCATATGAGGAGAAAAAATCATGAATAGCCTAAGTAAGAAAACACTTTTATAAAGTGCCATGAAGCTAGACTAAACTGATGGGATTTAATACCTTCTTCTTTTGTTCTTCTGTAAGTGCATCAGGCATAGTCACATCAAGCATGTTCATAACCACCTGTGCAGCTTGTATCATTCGGACTCTATCATCATCATCATCATCATGACCCATTGCCTCCTCTTCCCCAGAGTCTGCAACACTACGACCAGATACTAATTTGTCATTATCCTCATGCAATAACAAGCCTGTATTTTGGCTTGCTGCAGTGTTTCTTTCCACAAATGTCTTTTCGAAAGGCTCTAGGATGTGCCCATCTGAAGAGTCTAAACTTTGAAGACTTAAATTCTTTTTTACTCTAGCACTTGCATCAGGTGATCTCATCAACATGGCTGGGACACTTGAAGGATTAATGGTAACATCAAGATCTTGTAAAAGAGGGTGGTGACCTTTTAAAAGACCAAGCTCCACAGCAGCCATCCACTGCCACACCAGATATTTGCCCATTACAGAATTTTCTTTATTGTGTCTAATTAATTTAGTATGTGATTGGGTACAACACTATCGATCTTTTACCTCCATGGCAAGATTCTGACACCAAGGTACAGTTGATCTATCTCGAATGGATTCAGTAAACAGGAAGTGGTTGCACAGAAGCTGGCTTGTGAATGGGTTTTGAGCTATTGAACTTTGTGGAACAGAGAACAATGGAACAGACCTGTCATTGTTCTGGAAAATCACAAATACACAATGTTTTACTGCATATATCTTTTGGGTGAAAATCTAGTGACATTTTCTTCTGCATTCATTTATGATTATCATCCACCAATAGTGATGAGGGGATTAAGCAATATCCTAATATTCACTAGGAATTTGACGTTCTATACCAAGTAAAGCAGCAATATGGTTTTGAATAACACCACAACAAAAAGGATTAGCAATGAAAAGTGGAACATCCTAAATTATCAGAACTTTAAACAATCCAAAACAGAAAAACAGAGTGGGGGGGGGGGGGGAAGCAGTAGTCCCTGTCTGTCTCTATAATATTTCCTAGTTATATAAAGATGACTCCAACAAGAAACAAATGAAAGCCTATTTCTGATATGCTATATATCAGAAATAAGGTTTGAACCATGAAGTTTCACAACAACGGCTTCGAAAGAAAGTTGTACCTGAATAAATAGAAGAGGAATCTTAACTCTTCCAATCAGATCTCTTGTACTAGATTTTGCATAAAAATCCTCTATGGAATTAGACCGGTGTGATACAGTAGATATTTCTTTCTCAAAATCACGAATACATGTTGATAGAAGAGCCTTTTCAACATTAAAACCTTTTTTGCATCCTTGGAACAGTTCCTATAAAGCGGTAGATAAACGTTACCAAATATAGGACAAGTCGTACCAATATTCCTTTTTAAGATTTTAGAGAACTACGTTTTTGGTGGTGCTACTACTTCTGGAACCTGTCTTATATTATGTGTTCAAATGCAACTAAACATGTACTATCCTCCGTTCTTAAATGGTTGCAACAGTTTGACTTTCACGTTTGCCAATGCACAACTTTGACTGTAATTATATTTAATTACGTATTAGTAAACATTATAAAAAGTTAACATTTTGGAAATTCACATTAATAGAAATTTAATAACATTTTATATATAATAATTTGATTATATATATTAGTAGAAAATCGTGTTCCAAGTAAGGTGTGTGAATAATGTAAAAAATTCAATGTTGCAACTATTAAAGAACAGAGGAGGCATCATGTATGATCAACTTGGATTCTCTTAAAAAAGGGTTAGAACATTAAATACTCCCTCCTGTCCTATTTATAAAGCATATTGAGGTTGTTTTATATATAGTTCACTTTAGCATTAATAATACACTTAAATGTTTATAAAACATACGGAGTATTAAGTTTGTCTTAATTTTCTCTTAAATGTTTAAGGGCATATTACAAAATTGAATATTATTTAAAATGTTTTTGATTATATTCTTGACCTTTGCGGAAGAAAAAAATGTGCTTATAATGAGGAAATAAGAGACGAATTGAAAGAAAGAAAACCTATCAAGGGGAATAAGTACCATGTTAGATTGCAGAATATTGACCAATCCAGGAGTTAGCTTCTGGTTTAAGTGAGAAGATGCTCTTGTAGCCTCTTCTAGGTCAAAAGGGTTGTCAACACAAGTAGCAGCCGTGAGTGGTGTTTCTCCTTCAGCTTCAGCCAGGTACTTTGTCAGCATGTTTGCACCATAACCCCAGCCAATGCCCATTAATGTTGACCATGGCCTTCTCTTCTTGATAAACTCGATGGCTGTGGAGATATCATCACTGTCAGCAGCTGTAAATAACCTACAAAATAAAATTGTTAACATTTCCTATAATCATCATATTGCAGTAGGGGTGCAGCATGTGGCCAAATCTTAGAAGTACGTGTTTGATTGATCTCATTTAATGCAAATATTTCTTCCTATAAAAAAGCAACAGTAAATTTATTAAATTCTTGAGAGGGTCAATGCGACATGATACAAAATCATACGATGAGTTTGTGCAGCAAAGAAACTATATGCTTCAAAATTTGAAGAAGCAATGCAACATGTCCTATTTAATTTAAGTCGGAACCCAATGAGAGAATCACATACACCAAAGATTTTACTATCAAGTTCGGTCATTTTCATTTACCCCAGTGCCGCAAAGGCTCCCACCTACAGTGGGGTAAGGGGGATCGGATGTACGCAGTCTTACCCCTATACTAAAGCATAGAGAGGCTGTTTCCGGATGACCCATAGTGAAAATCGCGTCCAAAATTGCATGGATTGACTGCTGCTTCATTACAAAGAAGCGCAGACAGTTTAGTGAGCCATTTTGCTTTATTCCATCATAATCTCAAGCCAAAAAATAATGAATCTTTGGCTCTATTGCAAATGATGGAAATATCAAGTTCAGTATATAAAATAAATACATTAAAAATGTAAATAGAGAGGTTTGACAGAGCACAATGCTACCAAGCATACATTAGATAGAGGGGAAAAAAATGAGATAAATTGGATACTGATTTTCCTTTAAAGAAATTGGATATGATTTCTAATTCAGGATTTTAAAGTGCCAGCATTGCTCAAAATCAAGCCACCAAACTAAATATCAGGAACGAAACAGTCATGACTGACAAAATATCCTATACAAACGCATATCCTGTGATAACACATCACCATATGAATGGTCAAAAGATAAGAAATATAGAGTACACTGACCTTGCTGTAGTCAATGGAGAACCAGCACAACCCCTGGGATTCATGACAACTGGGAAACACCCTCTCCTCAAACATTCACACACAAATCCCCTAATATCGTCGCCCATGCTTCCCTCAGCTGTTCCGGGAACTATCACTAAGGTGGTGTCCAATCCACACTCCTCCTCCAAGTCCAAATTTGCTGGCCAGTCCAACGACACCACTCCTCCATCCTCCATGCTTATACACAGCCTCTGGTAGACCAACTTCTCATCAAATTTCTCCTCGCTCATCCCAACCTGAATTCTACCACTGAAAAGTCTCACGAAATGGCTTTGCTCTCTCATCAGACTCTCATTTAAATTCTCCAGCAATTCTCCCCCCATGAACGAAACAGAAGGACACCGCAGCATGACAAACCTATTAAACGGCGTGGGACTGGTGACCAGTACCCACTCGCCAATTTCTGAAACTGAGCCTTCCTGCGGAACTCTACGAACATTTGAATCTCCGCGGAAACGCGCGAGGTAGAGAGCGGCTCCGGAAGCGATACCAAGGGCAGGAGCGATGACATCGAGCGAATTCACGAAAGGGAATTGAACGATTAAATTGTCGAACAGAGAGCGGAAGGGTGAAGGTGAAGGAAATATGTTGCACCGGACGGTGACTCCTGGGCGCTTCCGTCCACGGCGGTCTCCTAGCGTCCGGTTTCTGCATTGCCGGAATGGAATTGACGGTGAGAGGTTCCGGGAAGGCTTTGACGCCAGTTGAGCGCTCGGCAAAGTGAAGCTCATCTACTTGCCGCGCACAAATTACGGAAACGAAAAGGCTTCGCCGTTTTGGTATCGGGGAGAGAAAGAGCGGACGGCGGAAACTGTAAATCAGGAAACATCTTCGAGAAGGGAAACTGATGAAATTGAGTAGTACGGGCAGTGGGGCCCTGTCCCATTACGTTAGCGGTTGAAGATGAATGGCGGGTCCTGCCAAAAGTTGCCGCATCTGGTTCGTTGAAGTTCGCGCCATAGCTCGATGGGCTAAAATTAAATTCAAGCCCAAGTTTTGCTGTGCTTGATTTGTGTTCATGACTCATTGTATTATTGGTGGAGTTTTTCCAATAATATTATACCTCCATCTATCTCAAAAAGGTTTCTCAAATTGACTTTTCTTGATGAATGACAATTAACTTTGATCAGCAATATTTATTAATATGAAATTATTTTGAATATGAAAATTATATCAATTGGAAAAACATACTTCTGTCAGATTAAATATTGTCATAAAAGTATAAAATATATAGATTATATATAAATATAATAAATATCCAAAGTTTGCCAACATTGATCACAAAATTTGTCGATAGGTTACTTTTTAAAAATACATAGGGTATTTGCAAGTGCATACGTCAGAGTCTCACTCACTATTTATCTGTTTGAAATTAAAAGTCCAATTTACATCATCTCAATTAACTATTAGAGTGGTGTTAGAGGACCCTCAAGGATGAGGTGTTATCCTTATTTTACATTGTCAACTTATCTTTCACGTGAACTAAAAATAACTCAATCCTCAGTCATCATCATGATCATCACTGCGAATAGCAATTACAAGATTATGTTTAATTGAATTTATATTAAACACGATAAATTCTCATTCCAAAGACCAAAAGCCCTATCATTTTGGTGAGTTTAGACCTATCTTCCTATCAATTTTTCTCAATAAATTCAATAAGGATCATGGCTATTAGGTTCACTGTTCTACTGCCCTGTTTAGTCTCCCATATATGGGGGTTTATGGAAGGGAAAACATAAAGGATGAGGTCATTGTGAAAAGAAAGTGTGAGCTTCTAGAGCCTATTTGGTAACACGAAAATCGGTTGATTCAGTGGATTCTGCTAAAATTTATGTAGTCCTGGCCGAAGTGGCTGCATTGACTGATTCTGCTGATTTAAGAAAAAATTATTTTTCAGAATATATTTTATTAATAAAATAAAGAAAAAAAGTATATTTAAAAATAGCTAAAATGGTCATCTACATTAACTTCAACTAATACAGCCAGAAAAGTAACTCTAACTTTACTTTTTCTTATTAGTACACAATTAAGCGCGTGAAAATAAAAATTGCGTGTTTTGTGAAAAAGTTGGCTCATAAGCCTTATAAGCTGGAAACGGTGTTACCAAACGGTCTCCTAACGTTACAATAAAGTTTGATATGGAAAAAGTTTTTAACAGAATTGCTTGAGAATTTCTTGATTCTTTTTTTTTTGAAAGAAAAATAACTTAATTATTATTGATAAAGTTAACAAGAAACATAACAATCAAAAGTCGAAACATTACAATCATAGTGTTCAATACAACATTAGGGTGAGATAAAGAACAAAAATGTCATATAACAGCATTCATGTTCGCTAACCCTGCAACAATGTAGATTCGTACCGCAGTGTGACTGCTCATGCTACTCGAAATGTATTCAGTTTGACCAGCCACCGAAAAGAAATTATTAAACTTGCCGGTTTTTCCAGCAGCCGGTAAGGAGCCAAGTGTAGAAATTGTTCCGGTTTTACCAGCCATCGGAAAGAAAGCAATCCATTCAATGTCATCTTCCGGGATTGGTGGTGGTTCAAGAGGGGCGCGATCGGCCTCTATATTGATACAGAAAAAATTGTGATTCATGATTGATAAAGAAGTCAATACAAACCTCTTACTAGCACACAAGAACACCCGACCGATGATGGCGGGGAGTATACATCTGGCGAGCGACACTTCGCCACAGAAAATAACATCTCTGAACAACGCTAGGAAATAAACGTAAAGGTAGAACTGAAAAACTGATCAAACGAATTTTTCAGGATTAAAATCAAAATAAGAGAATAAAAGAAGAGGAGGAGGAGGAGGAGGAGGAGGAGGAGGAGGCTAGGGTTTCCCTTTGCCGCTACTCTCTCTTCTTACGCAAGATGGTTTTGAATTTCTTGAGTATTTAGTTACCAGATTTGGTGTTGATAGTTGATAACCGCTTTCGCGGCGTTGTAGTAAAACGGAGTCTAACCTTTCGGTTTTTCCCCGAGTATCGTGTCTCTTGAGGAATGGCGGAGGAGTTTCTTGATTTTAAGCTCAGTCACAGGTTATCGCAAATTATTGGAAGCTTTCCAAATTAAAACTTTTGATTGATTTTCTAAACTAATTTTTGAAAAATAAAGTAATTAAATTATGCAAATACTAATGATGGCTCAAAAATAAACTAAATGAAAAATATTAAACTCTAAATGGATTGATCAAAGAAGGGCAATGAATTGAATAATTAGAAGTGGATATATTCTCGGTGTTAGTCCATGTTTCTGTAACAGCAATGAATAACGATCTAACAACGAAGATTAAACGTAAGAATGAACACAGAATGAATCAACGTAAAACCTTCTTTGATAAACCGTGAACTCGTACAACAGAATGATATGCGCGTAAGGCTATGAATAATAAGTACGACGTTAACATATTCCTAAACCTCGGCTCCCTTTTTATAGGCGAGATTTAGGTTAGGCGTACCAAGCTTTTAGCCTGTTTATATGGGCCTAACACTTGGCCTGATTTCTATCTAAATCATGCACTAATTAAATACAAGGATTAAATATAAAGCTAATCTATGACCAACTTGATTCACAATTAAATATCTCCAACAATCTCCCCCTTTGTGATCAAGTGCCATTCTCTTATTGCTTCTGAGACTTGAAGTAGTGCTTCCTCATACCAAGTGCATGTTCATATTGCCTCAGCACATTTCTCTTTTCGAGGCGATCGTCAATGGCCTTTAGAATTGTCTCTACTGTAGAGTGTTCCTTTTGAACATAAGACGATGCCTCTTGAAGATTTTTCTCTAGCTCTGCCTTCATCTTTAGAATCTGTTCTTTGATTATCTTCAGTGTTCCGTCACAGTACTTCTCAATTTCAGTGACTACCATCAGACGCTTTTCGTTCTTGTGGTTCAGATAGGTGACTGCTGGCGGTGTGAAGAAGATGTGGTAGGCTGGGAAATCTTCAAGTTCTGGACCATACAGTCTTGGCTTTGTCAGATTTGTCTTTTTCAGATTGCACTCAATAGCCATCTGTAGGTCATGTGAGGAGTGTACTCGGATCTGTCTAAGCATGAATCTCTTGATAGCTGCGAGGCCTTCGCTGTATATTAAGCTCTGACTGACTGGAAGGTATCTGTATGCCATGAACATTTGGTAGATGTCATCCGGTTTCAGCATGATGAAGTCGTTCTCTTGACAAGTAAATTCGCTCCCATCGGTGCGTTGAAGTCTGTAAGTGTAGAATGTTACTCCATGATAGTCTTCAGCCTTCACTTGTAGGATTTGATGAATCGGGAGAATATTCGACTTCAGATCTTGTTCCATCAGTACTCTCTGTGTACCGGTTGACCTTTGTAGCAACATATGCAGATGACCTCCAGCCTGCTTTCCTTTTAAGTGAGTAAGGCCTCTTAGCTTCAATTCATTCAGCGGCTTGACTCTGTCTGGTCTACGCCAGATATGCTCACTGATTTCTTCTTGGAAGGGGGCTTTGATGCGAACATTATCCCAGGGTTTCTCTGTCTTGGGGAGTCTTCCCGCTGATTGTCTTATGACCGATTCAAGAGTCTTCTGGGATTCTTTGTAATTCTCCCCTTCCTTGCGTTCATCGTCCTCGAGCCTTATAATATCTTCAGAGCATCTGTTGATTAGCTCTCGTAGCCACCCGTTTCTTTGCATGTCCTCTTGTTCGGCCTCATTCCGAAGATCATCCCATTCTGTCCATTGTCGCGGCCATTTGTCATATATCACAGCCTCCTCCGGTGCATCGTGGATGTCTTTGCCTGGGGAAATATATGGAACTCTTTGTTGAGGCGGTGATCGTTCCTGAGTAGCACTACCGGGTTCACTTGGATTGCCCGTTGACATCAGCTTAGAACTAGGTTCCAACTGATGGCCTGATGGAGATGATGTATCAGTGGTAACATCATCAGGACTTCCATCCCCTCCTCGGTTGGTATCTCTTGGAGATACGCCTCGGGATGTTATTTCTAGCTCGACCATGCTAGATAATTTGGCTGTGGATGGTGGCTGTTGGTTTGTTGAGGTTTCGGGTTGAATGGGTTGTGGAGTTTGGCTTGGTAGAGCAGTTTGCTCAAGTGATCGAGGTCGCTTGTTCTCCCCCTCATGAGGATCCGAATCATCGGGGTCCTCATGTGAACGTTTGCGACCACGAAGACTCTCCTTGCAAGTGCTCTTGGTTTCGGGTGAAGAAAGAAGGGCCTCAAGTATGGCTTGCTGATGAAGAGTGAGCTTGTCTTCAGGGGTGTTTAAGAGGTTGTTCAGCAAAGCCGATGCTAGTGTGTCAAAGGATAGTGAGGAGAGATCGATGGAGGGTGTGGTCGGGTGTGGGGAGAATACTGGTTCTGTATCCTGGGTTCCCCGAGAAATAGAGGGAATGTGAATTTGGTTTATGGATTGGTGGGATAGAGGGGTGGAGGATATGAGTTGTGATGGGAGATGAACGGTTCAGGGGAAGGTTGGGGTGGTGTTTGTTCAGACCGAACCGCTTGGGTGGTCCTAAATTCCTGTGCTAGAGCGGTCATTGCATCTTGCACCCATGGTTTAATGGTGGAATCTAGGAAGCGATTGAGTAGAACGTTTACGTCTTCAAAGGTAGGGTGACCAGTTACGGGGGTTGTAACTGTTGACACAGCATCAGTGAAGATTGCTGATGTGTGGCCTGCATTTAATGATGGAATCATTATGGGCGTAGCAGGGCTTCCAACCGTCATAGCTTGCGCTCTGGTTGTTGCGTTCAGGGTGAGTGCACCTGTATGTGCAGTGAATAGTGTAGGTGTCCTAGAAAATGAAGAAAATGTGGGGAATGTGACACCTAGACTC